GAGCAGCGGGTGAAACAGGAGAGGTCTGCTGCACCATGTGGGTCAGCTCAGTGTCAGGGATCAAACTCAGGCCATTGCGGTAATAGTGTTGAGCCTTAGGCCACCAGGGAGGCCTGGAAATTAAGAATTAAGCTGTTTATCCAATTCATAAAAGATCACTCAACTAGAAAGTCACAGTCAAAACTGAAATCCAAGTTTGCCTGTTCTCTAAGTCACTCAGCTCTACTGCATCTTTAGGATGACAAAGATGACCTCATGGGATACGTTTGGGTGGAAAGATGAATATAAATGAGTGTTCCTTTCAGAAGGGTAATAATTGGTAGAAGTAATGTGGAATGAATTTGGATGTCAGGAAGAAGTATGTCTGCATGAGAATTCACAGTCTTGGGGACGGAAGACGGGGACAGATTGACGCAGGGACAGCTATGGGCTGCTGGGTAGTGGAAGCTGCAGATAGAGAAGAGGTGGTTCTAATATGGACCTCAAAGAGGAAAGACACAGAAAAGGGTTCTTCTGCCATCTCTTGAGCCCTAAAAAATTCACATAATGAAAGGAATTGATCTCTTGAGTTTTCCACTAGCCAAAAAAATCGTCTCCCCCCCAGAATAGAGAATACGGCAAAAGAAATTCTCAACTTGGGTTGAATTCAACCAGTTCTTGAAAAAGAAGCAATTGTGAAGGGGAAAGGAAAGGGACCCTGGAGACATTAGTCACCTCGCATGAGCCTGGTATGGCAGACATCACCTTGGGCATGCAGAAAGCATATTTAAAAAACCAGAGAAAAGTTAGACCAAAGACTTTACAGAGAAGATGGCTTAAGAAAGCAAAGTTCGGGCCTCCCCTGGTGGCACAGGAGGTTGAGCGCCGTGCTGTGAAGCTCTCCGCAGCCTCTGCAGCACCGCTTTGATCCCGGCCGGCCGGCGAGGGTCCCACATGGCCCGCAGACCTCTCCTGTCTCACCCGCTGCTCCTCTCAGCAGTGTACTTCGTCAGTCTGCCTGTTCTGTTCCCCGCTCTGTATCTGGTGAATCCTCTCACCCTCCCGCGCATCTGGCCTGTCCCCCGGTTCTTGTGTAAATGCATAAATAAATCTTAAAAAAAAAAAAAAAAAAGAAAGCAAATTCACAAAAGTAAAATTGTGAAGACACAACCATTCCATGTTATGAATTCCATGAATCAATGCCGGAGGCACAGATAAATGAGAGAAAATGGGTATATGGACAAAATGTACCAGCATTTTATCCATCACTCAGAAGTGTTCCAGTTATCGAAGGTCCATGATAGATTTTCCAGGGACAAGCGCCAGGAAGGAAAGTAATGGGTGGTCCCTATCTTTGAGATATATGCAAAGCTGTCTAGCCAGTATTTAAAAGAATAAGGACTCAGAAATTGTCACCAAAAGCAGACCAGCTTGTGGAAGAACCAGTGATGTTCTATAAAGCAAAGTTATTATGCTGAATCTGATAAAAGAGAGTATAATTATTATAAAAGCCTGGATTTAGTGAGCAGGTTCCATGTGCTAGTATTTTTCATGATTTAATTTTTACAACCCCAAGAAATAGGTATTTTCAGCATCCAATTTTTATCCTCATATAAGAATAGAGAGTTAATGAACTTGACCTGTAGAAAGTGGTGTCTCTAGTCACCAGCCTGCAGTGAAGGTGTAACACTTTCGCCAAGGCTGATTCTCTTTGTATGATATTCATGGATCTAGAAATCCCACTGGAAGGAATCTCCTTATAGTGTAAGTGGTTTCTATGTCAGTTACTGCAGCATATGAGTCCTGTTTTATTCATAGGAAGACACAGCTTCTTTTAGAAGAGAAATCCTACTTCCCAGCTTTGTTTCCATGCTCCAGACTTTGATGCTGAATTTTTTAAAAAAGATTTATTTATTTATTTATTTATTTATTTATTTATTTATTTATTTGTGCATAGAAGAACTGAGGTGTAGGTTAGAGGTGCAGGGGGTGAGAGGATTCACCAGAGACAGAGTGGGGAGCAGAACAGGCAGATCTACTGAAATACACTGCTGAGGGGAGCAGCGGGTGAGAAGGGAGAGGTCTGCAGCACCATGTGGGTCAGCAACCTGGCTGGGGATTGAACTCAGGCTGTGGCGATGATAGCTCTGAGACTTAACCCCTAGGCCACCAGGGAGGCCCTGATGCTGAGTTTTTATGCTACAATTGCCACTGAAGATCTGACCATTCCATGGAAACATCCAGGCCTGCTGCAGGAAAATTCAGTATCTAAGCACTATTTTAGGCCTTGGGCAGGTCACCTGGTCCACAGAGATGGTCAGATGTAGCTTAAGATCAAGACTTTTGTTCAAATTCAGCTCTCTGGAGGTGACTGTCTAAATTACTATCAGCAACCTAACTGTGCTGTATGGTCTCCAATCCATATTTTGAAGCCCTAACCCCCACTGTGACTGCATTTGGAGTCTGGAGCTTTTCGGGACATCATTAGGGTTAAGTGGAGTCATAAGGGTAGGGCCCTAACCTGATAGCACTGATGTCCTGCTAAGAAAAGGAAGACACACACAGAGAGAAGAGGTTTCCTGAGGTCACAGCTAGAAGGTGGCCAACTGCTAGCCCTCACCGGAAACCAGATAGAGGCCTCACTAGGAACAACCTAGATGGCACCTTAATCTTGGATCTCTGTCTCCTGAACTATGAGAAAATAAGTTTGTTGTAGCTGCTGGGTGTGTGGGAACCCCAGCCAACCAATAAGCCTGCCGAGCCTGCTTTCAAATAAGGGGGAGGGGGCAACAACAGAGCCTGCTCCTGGCCCCTGCTCTTGCCCACTGATTGTCCCTAGAAAAGTCCTGGAAAAGCAGATCAGGGTGCTGGGCGCATGGCCGGAGCCCCATGACTCCAGTTGCTATTGTTACTAAAACCGAAGACGAGCTTCCTCTCCAGTGTCCTAGGCACAACAATCCCACTTCCTGCAGGGTAGGTTTGGGGTGGAAATGAGACCTGCACTTCTTAAACCTCGCCTGACAACAGAAGACCCTGCATACCCAGCTGGGGACAGGGTCACAACAAGAAAGGTTTTCTGAAATGATCGCTGAAGTCTCTAAAAAGCATACAAGTGTTGCATTCTAATTCATACATAGTGAATGCCTGTTTTGATTCACAAGATGTCTGCAAACATTCATCAAAGGAAACAACTGACCATCTAGATGGATAACTTTGTCTCGTGGGCCGCTCACAGACTACTCGCATTTTGGAAAAGCTTTTCAAGTCACTACAATTAATCAGCTTGAGCTGCACCGTGAGGTGTCATGTGTAATAACGAGTAGAACGTCTTTAGTGAACTCCTACTGTGTGCAGGTATTGTGTCAGCAGGCGCCACACACATACATGCCCATTCCTCTGGAAGCTTCCATGCAGGAATGTATATCCATAAAGTACAGCACATTGTGACAAGAGCTGTGACGGAGAAGGCATACCAGCTAGAAAGCCTGCCCTGGGGCAGATGCAGAGAATTCTGAGACTAACACTCCCAGGAAGCCCGCCTGCAGGCAGCCTCTGAGGGGAGGAGTTGGCAGCTAAGCATTTAAAGCTGAGGGAAATAGTGTCACTCTTGGTGTGTCTGAAGAAGACACAGTCTGGGGATCAGTACAGTACTGGTATCTGACGACTTGCAGGGGTGATGAGGCTTCAGATACAGAATGTGGAAGGCTGGGACAGAGGACAAGGGGCACAGAGGTGCCTCTGTTCTCTTTCTGGATTTCCTCGGGGCCAGTGTGAACATTCCGGGGCCAGTGTATAAACTTCCAGTACTCAATTAACAGGTGGGGACTGCTTCACAAATCAGTCTCAGCCCCCATGGAAACATGGTCCCCCTCCACTTTCTGCCAGCCCTTCCTGACACCCAGAAAGGAGAGGGTGCAGCAAGCATCTGTGCTGGGGGTGGGTGGGCCGGGAGGTTGGCCCTGCAACTTGACTGGAAGTCCCCCACAGCCGGCTCCACTTGTACTGGGGGTGCAGGGCAGGTGACCTAGACTCCTCACACACTAACTCATGCTCCAGAGCCCACCTAGTTTCCACACCCTTGGTCACGCCTTTTTACCCCCTTGGGGGCCTTGAGCAAACAAGCAGGTGGAGGAAGAGTCTGAGATTATTGTAGGCAGGAGGAGGAAATTTCCATTAATAACACGAATAATAACGTTTCCATGCTGGCACAGCACTCCCCCTGGCAGAGTGCATTGCCACCTGTGACCTCTGGACGCTGGAAGTGGGGTTAGGATTCCCAGCCTTTGGCCCTGCCCTCACGTAGGCCACCCACGACCATCCACGTGGCCTTGAGATATCTAAGCCATGACTCCAGCATGGCCCCCAAGAAGGCTCTTTGTCCAAGAAAATCTCAACCCCCAGGCATCCCCACCCCCCACTTGTGTAAAACTTAAAGCAAACATATCCCAGCAGGAAGGGGCCTCAGAGCAATTAGTCCGACTTTGTTACTAGTCCAGAGGGGAGAAAACAACTGGGCTAAGGTCACACAGCTCCTCACGGACAGAAGCAGACCACAGACCTGCACACGCCTGCGCCTCCTCCTCCCAATAGCCCCCAGACCCCAAACTTCTATTTCCTGGGGCTTCGCAGAGCCCGTGTCAGTGGGAATCTGGGAGCATAACCTGTCAACCCTATTTTACCCTCCTTGAGGGGAGCCAGGGGAGGAGCTCGCCTGGCCGGAGCCCAGTGTGGAGCTTTCATGAAGTTGAGTCCAAGCGCGTGAAAGCTGCAGTTTCCCACACAGGGGGCCTCTCCGCCCCAGACCAGCAAGACCAACAGACCCCGGGAGGCCCCGGAGGCACCTGCGTCCAGCACCCGGCCTTCCACGCGCCCCCGCGCGCCCCTCTGACTCCTTCCCGCTCCGGCTCCACGGCCCCCCGCCCTCTGCTCGCCCCCTCCGGGCCTCTCCCCGCCGGCCCGGCTCTGGCTCTCCCTTCTCCGCCCGCGCAGCCACCGTCTCCAGCGGGCGCCGCGGCTCTTACCCCGGCCTCGGTCCATGGCGCCAGCGATCCCGGGCGCGGGGCGCCGGGCTCCAGCGGGGAGGCGGCGGCGGGCGCTCTCCACTCCGTCCGCGCGTCCCTCCCCCGGCAGGATGCTCGCCCCGCCACCCCGCCCGCCCTGCGCGGCGCTCCCGGAATAGACCCGAGCGCGCCGCGCCCCTCGGCCGCCGGCCGGTGTCCCCGGCCCCGCACTCGCCCGCGCCACGCCCTGCCAGCCGCGCCCCTCCCGCTGGCCGGGACCCACCCCCGGCGACCCCGCGCCCGCGCGCCCATCCCGGCCCCCGAGGCGCTTCTGCCGGCTGGCGCTCGCGGGTGCCGGAGGGCTCACCCTCGGCTCCCGGGCCCCAGTGGCCGGGGCTTTCCTCGGGTGGAATCAAAACCTCTTTCCCTGCGTCTGCCCCCAGTTTCCTGGCTTTGGGTTTGTCTTCTGCATTTGTCAGGTATTTGCTTAGCACCTTCTGGAGTCAGGGCGCTATGCTCGTGCAGTGTCACTAACCGGGTGAAAGAAAAGTAAGATGATGATGATAATAAACACAGATTTTCAGAAAGCAAGCCACCTAGGAAAGGAGAAACAGGATTGCTAAAAGGTGCACAGAATTCCAGCTTTTTTTTTTTTTTTTTAGATTTATTTATTTATGCATACAAGAACTGGAGTACAGGCCAGAGGTGGTTGGGGGGCGGGGGTGAGAGGATTCACCAGAGACAGAGTGGGGAACAGAACAAGTAGGTCGACTGAAATACGCTGCTGAGGGGAGCAGCGGGCGAGACAGGAGAGGACTGCTGCTCCAGGTGGGTAACTCCCTGGCTGGGGATCGAACTCATGCTGCAGTGGCTGCGGATAGCTTCATAGGTTGCATCTCAACCCTTGCAGCACCAGGGAGGCCCTGGACATCCAGCTTTTGAGGTTCCCTTTGTACTAAAACGGGAAGAAATGCCAAAATGGAGAGATGAAGTCGTGGACAGGAGAACACTTTCAGCACGCGTAACAATGCGCACTGTGATGTAAGTGCGCGCTCCCGCATAACAGTAAGATGTTGAGGAAATATCGCTGCGGTTAGTGCCGGCCAGCAGTGGAACAGGGTTTAAACCTGTGTGAAGATTTCATTTTCCCCCATCCTAATAGTGTACCTCCTTGAATAAATTTAACCCATTTATAGACATTATGTTGTGTATGAATTTAAGACCCTTTCATTATTTTAAGATAAAGTCCAGATCCAAATTGTCCTCTTAAACACCCCTCTTCTCCTCCCCAAGATGGGCCAGGCCAGGGTGTTCGGTTTGGTCTAGGCCACTGCTTTGCTTAGAACACGGTGGCATCCGGAACACCATGTGCAAGGGCGAGAGTAAGGGACGGGCCCAGGGTCTACCCTCCTCGTTCCTGGACTGGGGCTATTTCTCCGTTGCTTTCAGGGTAAGCAGAAATGAACACTGTCTTTAGCAAAATTGCGTGGGTAGTTTATTTAGTGTGTGTGTGTGTGTGTGTGTGTGTGTGTGTACTCAGTGGAAACTCAGTGTCCTGGAGACAGAATGGGATTTGAGTCTGAAAACTGTTGGATGAACTTTTGCTCCTCTCCTTACCAACTGTGTCACTTTCAGCCTGTGGGGCTTGCTTGCACAGCCGTCTGTGGAAACCTCATACTGACCTCACAGGCTACTGGCAGGGCAAATGAAAGGATGATACAAACCCACTTTATAAACCACAAATAGCTATACAAATGTGAGACATTATTATTTCCAAGTTCCTCTTTGTTCCTGCCCACTTTTCCAATTTGCAAAGGTCACTTTAAATTCTAAAGCAGACAACCAACAATTTACAAGTGGATGAAGTTCCAAAAGTTCACTTTTTGAACTCTAAAACGCTTGAAAATCAGGCTACAAATTGTAGTTAAGTTCCCAGGATAACCCACTAATACTTTGAAAAACACTCTTTCATTTGAAATAACCTTTTTAAAGCAGAAAACGTAATTATTGCAAAAATAGAGGCTTTTGTAGAGATTTTAAAGAGAATTTTCAAGACTTTGGAGGTATCTCTAGAGAATTGGAACAGAAGAGTAAAAAGGACTAAGGAGAACTTATATATATATGGGTGGATTCATTTATGGTTGGATTAACTGAAGCGTGTCTGTGAACAATTCTAAACATCAGCAAAAACAAAGCGCCATGATCGCGCGGTGGTTCTGGTTTATATAATACCCATAATTTCCACTAGGTGGCACTGTTGACTAAGTTGCCTACAGCTTGGTTGCTGTCAGGCTGGCTGAATGAGATGGACACAGAGGCTCTTTGTGGGTTTTGTACAAGAACTATCAATTTTTTCCTGCACTTTTCCTTTTATGAGGTCTATAATTACCATTAAAATTACCCCCACCTTTCATCAATTTGCCTAGGAATATTTATTGCACTCTACAATTTTCTATAGGAGGAGCTAATGTTAAAGAGCAATGATCTCCAGCCTGACGACACCTGCAATTTGGAAGAGTTAAATATGTACAAACCAATGTAGTTACAAGTGATTATGTGAAAAGTACCAGAAGAGAGGTTAAGTGTACTTGGAGGTCATCAGGATGAAACCAGAATTTCTTAGTGATGGTGCAGATGGTGCTGAGAGCGTGCAGTGGGGAGATGATAGCATTATAGGCAGAGAAAGCAGAGAGAGCAAAGGCAGAGAGAGGAAACTGGCCCAGCGTCTGCAAACTGGTTTGGTTTGGCTGCATGGAGGGTCCCCTTGGCAAGCATGGAAGGGGGAGGGAAGGAGGTGTGGCTGCCTGGCTTTCTTCTCAGTTTTCCACTTCCATGAGAGAGTGCGACTCTCTGGAAGGGTCTTTATGGTCTGTCTAGAATCATTCCTTTCTTGCTTGCTTAATACCACACTTTCTAGGTTTGCCTGGTGCTTGTCTGAAGAATTCTGTGGAGAGTTCTAGCTCTGTTAAAAGATATCAAATTTGGTCCCAGTGAACAATTCCAGGAAGAAAGCTTTCAACTCCCTCGGCCTCCCTCCCAGGCTTGTGAAAACAACTGATACTCCCCAGTCTCGTTCTCAGCCTATCAGGTAGAACTGGGAAGCCCTGGGAAAGAAAAATCTGGAGACTAAAGGTTCTTTGTCCTAGTTAGAAAAACACACTATAGCTTCTAACCTGTCACTCTGCCTCTGGGTCTGCTCCCAGCGCGGCCATCCCACAATCCCTGTCAACCCCCCTGAAAAAGAACGTGGTAGCCCACCTTGCTCCCAGTACCGTGGGAGCTATATAAAGTCCAGCTTCATATTCTGGTATTTGGGGTGTCTTCTTCACTGAGCCCCAACCCAACATTCTCAAAGCAGACAAACTGCTATCTCAGGAGGCTCTAGGGAGAGGAAGGAAAACCACAGATTGGGGGTTCAGACCCAAGTTCTTGAGCTGACTCCCATGTGAGAATCTCAGCTCCTCTGCTGGGTTTCAATGGAGAACTTCATAGCGACTCTCTCCTCACCTGTCCCTGGGCCCCAGATTGCAAGCATTGTATGTGGGGGGTGCTGTGTCCTACTCATCACTGGACCCCCAAAACCTCTTCCAGTGCCAGGCACCTTGTGAGTGGCACTGAGTACCATGGAGAGATGGGTAACGAGTGCTGTGGATGGAGGAGGCTTCCTTCAGTGCCTGTCTCCTGGGGTGGGGTGGGGGTGTCCATTTATCCTCTGGTGGTTTGCTTATTGACTTGCAGAGGGAAGTGAGATTACAATGAAGTGTTCTGCAAGAAATCCCTCTGCTTCCCCCCTACACGGCTCGTGGCCGTGGACCTGCTGTCCACGGGGCTTCTCCTGGCTCAGGGTCCCCCAAGCTCCTTTGTGCAGGCTGAGCCCCAGAGCCCCTTCCTCCAGCATCTGCCCAGGGCTGTTTGCTGCATGAAAACCTCTCTTGTTCCACGCAGCACAATGTCGCCATTATAGCTCCAACTAGGGAAATGCCACCAGCCTGCTGGGCCACCCTGGGCCCCGGAAAGCAGATAGAGATCTGAGCGGTGGCTGCTGGGAAAGATTTTCATGGATGGATGGAAACCCCTCCTTCTGTGGCCCGTTAGCTCCTTCTTCCAGGGATCAGGGCTCTGACGTGCACGCAGGCTGCAGGGCTCAGCGTCAACAGAGTCCAGTGTGCTGCTCGTGTTTGGAGGAAAAGGAATGTTTGTTTTATGCCCAAATGTGGCATAAAGCCTGCCCCTCCCTTTCGGTTCTTCCTCAGGAAAAGAACACCCTTTAGTTGGTTAAGTGAGGAAAGTTGGAGCTGAGAGAAACCTGCCAGTCGGGCCCCTTCTCTTGTCATATGAGGAAACTGAGGCCAAGCGAAGGGAAGAAATCTTGTCTGATCTCACACAGACTTTAGAAGGAGAATCGGGAGTAGGGTTGGGGCCCCCAACTTGATATCAGCTGAACCACCCTCTTCCCACCCCCACAAAAGTCACTCTGTCCAGTTGGGGGGACATTTTGGGGGAAGAACAGGACTTTGAGACAAGGAAAGCTGAATTTGATAGTAGTCATGGGCATGATCTTCAAACTCTCTGAACCTCAGTTTCCTCATCTAAGAATAGGGCTTGTAAAGTCTCCCTCACACAGTGTCTGCAAGGCTGGAGCCCCATGCACCCTAGCACTTGGTACATTGCCTGGCTCAGAGGTCACCTCCTCAGAGTGCAGTCAGCACCTCATTTAGGGACATCATGGGGCCAGGGCTTTGTGGGGAGACTTCCTGAGTTCAAGCTCTGCCATGCGCAGCTCTGAAACCTTGAACAAATTACTCAAGACTCCATTTCCTCATCTGTATGGCAGAGGTGAGAGGCATACCCCGAAGATGAAACCAGATGTGTGAAGTGGTTAGTGCATGTCTGCCCCAGGATCAGAGTGTGAGTTCTTACTGTAATCGCATGGGTTTTCTCAGAAGATGCTTGTAGAATATTAAGGGCTACTCAGATCACATCACACAGCCAGGCTGCCCTCTGCAGGGAGCTTTATGTAAATCAAACGGTTGGGATCCACTCTGCTGGTTCCTCTTCCCTGCAGGGACACGGACCCCTGAACTTCTACCTCCTGTTACCCACAGACTGCTCAGGGGTGGCATTTGCTATGGTGTATTTGGAACAATCTCCTCATGCGGGAGGGCAAGACCCTCTAGTGTTAGAGTCACAATTGTTATTGGATAACAATACATACTTTATTCACAAAAGAGCTTTGGGAACAAGAGGGCTCTTGGTCCGGGCCCTTTCTGGTCAATCAATCGAGGCAAATTCTTCTCCTTCTCGTGAGTTCTATCGGCTGCTCTAGTATGTCCCCTGCCCCATAGCACCTCCTTGGGGCCCTGGACTATTTAAATTGGCATCCGTCTCCCTCAAAGAGCAAAGGCCCACACGCCGGACCCCAGTGTCCCTATTTATTCCCTATTAATTCCTTTGGGGACTAGTGGCGGAATCACAACTCAAACCGGCTCGAAATGTAATTGAGAGTTAAAGAGGCAAGGCTGACTTTAAGGCGAGCCCAGATCCAGGAAGGCAAACAAAGCTGCTGCTATTTTCTCTTCAACTCCTGGCTCCACCTTCTTCTGTTTGTTTAGTCTTGTCTCTGGTCTGGGAGAGAAAGGCACCTGGCTGCAGTCCACACACCTTCCCTCTTGTCATTCGGGACTGACCCACAGGGGGCGCTGGTAGTCTGATAGCTCTAACTGCGGCTCACGCGCATCTCCCTGCAGCCAGGTAGGTACCCCGAGCCCATCAATCAGTCCTTACCTCCCTAAGAACGGGTGCTCTAATTCCAGTTTTGCAAGTCTGATTTCAGACTGGGTGACCCCCCTGTAAAACTGAGGGGAAGAGACACATTCAAGGCCAAAAGCCAATGTGCTGAGCCCAGTGGCGTGGAGAGATGGACTTTAGAGGGATGTTGAATTGACTAGCCCTGCACCTTGGACTTCTGCTTGTGCAAGATCAAGTGTGTGCTCATTTTTAAGCCCCTTTTGAGAAGGTGTTCTTTCCTTCAGCTGGAGGCATCCTGATTGGCAAGAGTGGACAAGCTAGAACTGGCTCCTGTCTCTACCACAGCAATTCAGTGTCCCCTTCAAAGCCATTTCCTCACCTATGATGTAGAGATAAAAACATGGCTTCCTCCTGGGCTGTGACAGAGGCTTCAAAGAGATGATAGCATAAAGTTCTCAGCAGAGGATTAAGCACATTGTTGTGCTAATAACAAGAACTAGTATTACTGTTGCTAGTATTTTTCTCACAGGACGTTACTTGTTGTTTGAACATCCTCTACAATCTCGCAGGACCCTGCATTCTGTGGGACCAGGTCTGAGTAATGCTCCTTCGTCAAATGTGTTTGCTTTATAGAAGGAGAAACTGAAGTCGAGGTAGTGCTCTTTCCAGACTCTTTTTATTTCGAAATAACGTGTGTGATTCAGCCTCTTCCCAAGCCACGCACTTCTACACACGCTAGAAATGACAGAAGGACACAGGACTGGCTTAAAATTATGTGCTTTTATGGGAAACAAAAATATCCAACAACAATAACAAAAGCCCTTCAATTTCACCAAGTTCTCAACCAGTGATAATGAGGCAGTGTCAGTGATTGGTCTGGCTGGGGACATTCTAAAGGGTCAGGAAAATTGAAAGACCTTGGCCAAAAAAAAAAAAAAAAAAAAAAAAGATGCAGAGAGGGCGGACATTTTAAATGACAGTATATTACACCCCCCTCTTGGCCCCTTATCCTTTCATCCTTTCAACTACAGTCTCCTCCCTGTTTACAAAGATCCTTCCTGAACTTTGCTCAAACGCCATCTCTTTGAGAAAGCTTCTCTTGAGCTGCACCTGCTGCACCTGCTGCACCTGCCTTCTCAGTCACGTCACTCACGTTCCCATGCCCACTCCCAGCACTTCCTGCCTTACAACCACCATGTTTGAGTCCTGCCTTATGAGACCCATCACTGCAGCTATGTCCCCCAGACTGGTGCATGTGGACCATCCCAGCATGCCTGTGCTCAGTCTACAGCAGGTGCTCAGCATCAGCAGGTGCTCAGTGAGGTTTTGTTGAATTGAAGTCGGTACCACTCTGGACAAGTCCCATCACAAGCCCCTGAGAGTCTCAGCTGTCATTCTACTTCATCCTTCCTCCAGTCTTCAAAACAGTCCAACTCAAGGTATCGCCAAGAAGAAACAGACCCCACCAGACATCACCAACTCGGGGTCGAAGGTGTGGGAGGGGAGATGGTTAAGATTTCACCCCTGCCCCAGAAGGCAAGGAGGCAAGAAAGGCAGTCACTGGGGGAAATCCAGGCTGACCAGGAGCGGTGCTGGTCAATGCTTCATTTTGGAATCTCGTGAGCAGCCATTCTTCCGGAAATCTCCCCCATGAGCCCCGGCCAAGTTTGCAGCTGGAGTCCAGGACTGGGGGGTCTGGCAGTCGCCCTGCTAGCCTAGAGACCAGCGGTGGGCTGAGGACTTTCTTGGGGGTGTGGTCCAGGTTACCTTCAGGTGTGTGGTCAGAGGTGGCTGTCTAGCTGTCGGGTCGGAGCTGTGGCCACGTTAGCCCTGTGGTGTGTTGAGTGTCAGGCACATAGATTGTAGTAAGGCTGAAGAATACAGGCTGCCCCCAGGGGCCGCACCTCCAAAGGGGAAGGTCAGGAGGTGCTGGGGTGGCGAGGGGGAGGAGGGTCTCAGGGTCCTGCAGCTGCATTCAACCAGGTGTCCCCTCTCCTCTTCTCAGCGCCCGCCCCGTCACTCTGGTTCTCCACGTCCAAAGGGGCCAGCTGGAGTGGTGCAGGGAAAGGAAGTGCCTTTTCTTCTCCTACCACAAGTCTTAGCTTTGGGCCAGGGAGAGGTTGGGGTCAAGGGAAGGAAGATGAAAGGGCTACAGAGAGGCCAGGCCCCACCCACTTCTGGGTCCTGTTCAAATGAGGAGATCTGGGGGCACCCTCCTAGCTGAGACCCTCCCAGGGAATACCCACCCCCTAGTGAGAAGTGATGAGAAAATCCTTCATGGGCTCTCAAAGGTGCCTGGTGACTTCAGAGGTGGCTGTGGATTCTCCCCTGGGAGGGCTCCTCAGGGGCTAGCAGGTGTGACAACTGTGGGGTCACCATCTGCCCTGGAGACCAGGGAAAAGCATCGTGACACAGAGAGAAGGGAGACTTCGTCAGGCACCTCCTTTAGGAAAGAGAGTTGGACCTTGGGGGACTCAAGTTGGGACAGATGTTTCGGTATAAAAAGGCTCCCTGGTCAAAGAATGGGAGTCCCCTCAAATCCTTTCCCGAACCCCAAAGCACTTAGAAAAGAGAGAGAAAGGAGCATAAAAATACCTCGATGACGTGGGCTGGCCTGGCAGTACAGAAAAGCAAGTCTCATGGCAGGCAGTGAGTCCCATTACACAAGAGAGGATTATACCGAGCTTCAGTATAGAGATTTTACATATATCTTTATATAAGTGCATATATATTTATAGAGCCTCTGCCTAGAACAGCCGGGCTTGCTTCTTCAGTTCATTCCTCTTCCAGAGGGCCAGCCGGTCAAACTCGGAGATGGTCATGCCAAAGACTTGGTAGAACTCTTCCTGGGACAGGTGGCGCTGGAAGGAAGTGGGAGGGGACAGAGAGGGAACAGCCTGAGGATGGGGTGCGGGCTGGGGTAGGTGGAGGCAGGAGCGGTCACTGTGTTTTCTCTGGGCGCCGGGCCCCGTGCCTGGGAGTGGCTCAGCCAGGGAAGTGTGTGATGGATATCTGTTTGGTGGATGCGTGAGTGATTGTCTCCTCACAGGGGCCTCTGGAGCTGGTCCGGGGGTCACCTCTCACCCCCAAGACTCAGGTGGGACTTTGATTTCACTAACACCCCTCAGTATGCCTGGTTCACCTCACCTATCTGCCTCCCTGCTACATGTACCCTGTCCACGGGGGTGCATGGATTCATGCTCTGCTTTTTCTCCTTTGAGAAAAAAAGGGGGTGTGCCCATGGTTTGTATTTCCTTTTTTTTTTTTAAAGATTTATTTTATTTATTTATGCATACAAGAGCTGGGGTGTAGGGGAGGTGAGAGGATTCACCAGAGACAGAGTGGGGAGCAGAACAGGCAGATCTACTGAAATACACCGCTGAGGGGAACAGAGGGCAAGACTGGAGAGGTCTGCTATGCCATGTGGGTCGCTCCCTGGCTGGGGATTGAACTTGTGCTGCAGTGGCTGGATAGCTTCATAGTGCTGAGACTTAACCCCCTGCACCACCAGTGAGGCCCTATATTTCCTCTTATTAATATTTTTTACAAATGCTCTGGAAGGCTGTTTCTGAGACCAAAGAAAAAAATTTCTGTTCATATTTCTCCACCTACTGAAATGTCCTGAAAACTGGGCCAGAGAATCATTGTTCTGCATTCAGGGACACCCCCTCCACCCCATTCTGCCTCCCTCCCTCTCTCCCCCTTTGAAAGTTAACACATTGTCTAACACTTTTAGAGTTAGACATACATGGCACTTAAAAGGTGGCAAAATGTTAACATTTGGTGTATTTAGGTGAGTGGTAGGTGGATGTTCATTTCACTTTTCTAAGAACTTTTTTGGAGTTCTGAAATTTTTCTCAAAATAAAATTTTAAACTACATTGAAAGAGAGGAACATATGGCCTCTATCTTGCCTGAAAATGTCCTGGATTCACTGAGCTGACCTGTTGGTAGTAGTTACATTACCTACTAAAGCACTGAAGAAGACTCTGAGAATCAGGTACACAGCCAGGTAATGCCTAGCCACTCCTCTGGCCAACTGTCACTATGAAATAATATTTTGACCACATTTGCAGAACTTCAAGAAAAGGTAATATTGATACTTTCGATAGCTGTTACTGGCTGCTGGTGACCTTGAGCTGATTTTTCAATACTTAGCATTAGCTAAGAACATCAATGAGTCCTTGAATTGCATTTGGTCATACTTAATAGTTCATCTCTCATTTTTCTCATTTAACCCTCTAGCCAACCTGAAAATCAACAATAATTTCCATCCAGTTCAAAAATGAGAAAACCAGAAGTCAGAGAATTAAAATAACTTACTCGGCCAAGAGCGAGGGTGGGAGGAAGGTCAGTAAGTGGCAGAGCTGTGACCCAAGCCCAGACTTTCTGATTCCAAATGTGGGACTCCAACTGTCCCTCTTGGTCAAGTCCATTAACAATTCATAAATAAGTGTTTCTATCATGAAAAACTTCCATGAATTTGTGAAAGAGAAAGGAGCACAAGGCATAGCCATGCCCAGCCCCCAGATTCAACAGTTATTAAGAGTTTGGCATATTTGCTTCATCTCCTTCCTTTGCGGAAGTGTTTTTACAGCAAACCCCAGCTATCATATCCACTCGTTCTATTACTGCGGTAGATAATCACAAACACACTGGCCACTTCCTCGGGCGCCCACAGGCCATGGCCACACCTAAGAACGACCAACAGTAAGTCCTCAGAGTCACCTAATCCCACGCACAACAAGAGTTTCACTGAGGCAAAGTGACTTGCCCAAGGTCACACACCCATATCTGCCAGGCTCTAAAACCAGCTCTTCACCCTTATGCTTCAAAGTCTGTGATGAAGGTCAAATGAGCAGAGCTGGTGAAAGTCCCCTGAGCACCCAGGTGGGTGGTGGCCTCAGTTGGCCCTTGGGTGGGGAGTACAGAGTAGAAGCTTTAGACTCCTTCAGTGCCAGCGTCTGATTGGCTCAAGAATGTCTTTTTCAAGGTAGTTTGTGTGGCCAGGCATTTGAACTGGGGCCACACCACGTATGGCTGTTACGTCCCTAAGTCTTTTTTTTTTTTAAATTATTATTTATATAAGCACTGGGTACAGTCAGAAGCGCAGAAGGGTGAGAGAATTCACCAGAGCCAGAGCGGAGAGCAGAACAGGCAGACTGACGAAGTACACTGCTGAGGGGAGCAGTGGGCAGCAGGAGAGGTCTGCGTGCCATGTGGGACCCTCACCCAGTGGCCGGGGATCGAACTGGTACTGCAGAGGCTGCAGGCAGCTTCATAGCCCAGCGCTCAACCCTGCACCACTGGGGAGGCCCTGTTACATCCCTAAGTCTTACCTGTGCAGACAGTGCCTGCTTCACACTCATGCTGTTGATGTACCCATATTTGTTTTACTCTACTCAAATGAATGATGAAAAATAATTTGGATGTGAGGGCACTCTCTTCTCTACTTTCACAGGAAAGAGAGAGCAACAGTCATTTCTTCTTCTTTGCTCTTTTTTTTTGTTGTTGGAGGTAGTGGCTACAGCTGATCACCCGATACTGGTTTCTCTACTATGCTCAAAAATCTTTTTTATGAGGCTCAGTGGACATGTTAGAGGTGACAGGGATGGTAGCGCCACTCTACTGAGTAAAGCAAAGCCTCTACAGTAGGCAGCACTGAAGGAGACTGAAGCTTCTACCCTGTACTCTCCACCCAAGGGCCAGGCATTTGAACTGGGGCCACACCACGTATGGCTGGGGCCTCCACCCACCTGGCTGCTCAGGGGACTTTCACCAGCTCTGCCCATTTGACCTTCATCACAGACTTTGAGGCATAAGGGTGAAGAACTGGTTTTAGAGCCTGGCAGATATGGGTGTGTGACCTTGGGCAAGTCACTTTGTCTCAGTGAGCCTCAGTCACCTCTTCTGGGCAGTGGGAGCATCCCAGCACCTGTATCAGGGGAATTGGGAGGGAGAATCAGGCAATGTGGCTCATGTGCCCACTGCACAGGCTGGTGAGCGGAAATCACCTGGCCCCTGGTCATTCTCACTATGGCAACGACCTCTCTGTGTGCTCCCCCAGGTGATTGGGTCCTCATTGGCCTTCATCTTCTCTCCTGTGCACTGTCACCTCAGCCACACTCACCTCCTGCAGTCTTCAAACACACCAGTCTCACTCCTGTCCCAGAGACTTGGCAGTGGCCGGTCCCATCGCTCTTGGCTCACCCTCTCTCCCACTTCAAGTCTGGCTCTGATGTCCTGTTTCAGTGAGATCTACCCTGCTCATTCTATTTAATGTGCAAGCCACCCCTCGATTCCCAGTCCCTTCACTGTCCCTCCTTTACTTCTCTCCTTGGATATTAGTACCTGCCAACATACTATGTCATTGATTCTCTGTGTCACTTACTATCTGTCTCTTCACATGAAAATGCCAGCTCCAAGAGGGCAGGGTCTTTGCGCTGTTTGTTGATATGCAGCACCTTGGACAGCACCTGGCGTGCAGATGCGTTTGCTATTCACTGGATAAAGGAAGACCGAAGCTGAGCTCCTTAAAGTCAGGGTCACGGTCTCCTTCTGTAGAAACCTTCCTGCAGAGGGTGAGAGTAGTGTCTCTACAGCCTACATCCCCAGGGCCTCTGAGAAATACAGATGCCTGGGCTCCTTGCCAAGATTATGATGTAAATGTCTAGGGTGAGGCCTCTATTGCTGTTTTTAAAAGCTTCTTGAGTGATCCTGGTGCTTAGGAAAGGTTGTGCTTCCCCGGTTTGAGTTTTTAGGTGTCCTGAAGCAGGTAAGGGAGCAACTGGTCCTCCAGATGAACCAAGGTCCAGAATTTCCCTTCCCTGAATGCAGGCTCCCTGGCGCTGCCTCGGGAGCTGTCCCGTTCAGCACCAGCAGACACTCTGGTTGACATGAAAGGAGGCCCTTTAAATGCGGGGAGGGGGATCACTGCTTCTTGGGCTGCTATCCCAGCTTGTCAGAGCTAGAAGGACTCACAGAGCTTCCTCCAACCCCCTACTCCAAACAAATTCCTCAGTTGTCAGTGTCGGGGGTGTTGATATTCTGAGCCCCCTTAGAAGCCTGCATTCAAGTCCACAGACATTTGCTGACACCTCTCCTAGGCCAGGAACCGTGGAAGATGACAGACTGTCTAAAAGGAAGTGGACATCTCGATGATGTGATACAATGGGGGGGGGCTTGATGCGTGCTCTGGACGGGTGTGGGAGGCTAGATGAATAGGGAAGCAACACCCTCTATGGAAGGGTTGGCAGAGATTTGGGGGCACACCTGTCACTAGATTGGGAACCCAAGGAGTGAGGATGCTGGGGAGAAGGGAAAGGCATTCTAGGAAATGGGAAAAGCAGGGGCAGGCAGGGGTGGAGAGGGAAGAGCACTCGTGGATCAGAAGTGATCTGGGACAGGAGCTCCACACCACGCGGCTGGACTGTTGAACACCTGATGCCATGCCTGGGCCACCTCTACTCTTATTTACACTATCCCCACTGCTCATGAGGCTGTTCTTCCTCTCTCCAGCCACCCCAATCTACCCACCTTCAAAATCCTTCCTCTGTCTGGAAGGCTGTGCAAACTAAGCCAGCCATCCTGGTCCTCTCTGAGTGACACCAGTGGGGCATTGTGAGGAACAACTCGGCATGCCAGCAGATTCTGTGCCAAGGGCTCTATGCGTACCGCCTCATAGATATCATTCGGCAACTTGTGGGAAGCACAAATCACCCCCTCTTGACAAAGGAGTAAACTGAGGTTCACAGAGCAGCCGAGCTCCCGCCTGGGCTGGGCAGGCTCAGAGCTGGAGCCGAGTCTTCTGCGTTCATTTCTGGGCAGCGCCACCCCCCTCCTCATCAGTGCTGCTGGCTGTGCTGCCCTGTGCAGAACCAGCCCTGCACTGCTGACCAACAGACTGAGGACCTCGAGCACAGGCACCAAATCTAGCCCTCTTGTGTCTGCAGGAGGCCCAGCCCCAGGTGGGGACACACAGTGGCTGTGACCACCAATGCTAACAGAACCGAGGACAGCAGGGAACAGTCTTAGACTATGGAAATGGGGTTTGAGTCTGCTTTGTCAGTAAGTTGTGTGACCCTAGAGTCATTCATTCTGTCCACCCTTCCAGAGCTGGCTTAGACCAGGCCATTTCTGGGATCCCTCTGAAGCCAACCTGCTCAATGTTCCAGACCTACCTCTAAGCGGGTCCGGTCCACATCCTTGGGCAGCCGATTCCGGCCTCTTGTGGTCACCAGCAGCAGTTCATAAGGGTAGATCTAAGGAGAGAGGGAGGTTTCCAGGCTGGGGGCGGTGGTGGACTTGTTCCTTTTAGCCACATCTCGTTTTTGGATTCCCTCCTCTACCCAGAAAGATTAGTCTGGAGAAAGCTGGTCTGCCCTCTTTGGAGTTGCCTGGTAGCCCCAGGGCACCCCAAAGGCAAGGCCCAGATGCTCTGATACTGCCAGGAATAAAGTTGGTGGCATTTGGAATTAAGGTGGGCCCACGGCCTCCTGAATGTAAATGGCCAGTATGTGGTGATTGTCAAGACTCTAGAAAGTCTTTGAGGCCTTGAGGGACTATGGGATTTCAGTAGGCAAGAGATGTGGGGCAGGCTCATGGACAGGAAGTCTAGGAGGAACTGGAAATGCTGGTCTTGAGAGCACCCCTGGGGTTATTTATCTGTTTCCTTCCCTGCATACACAGTGTTGTCAGCCTCTGGCTGGTCCCCATGTAGCAGCTCCCAGGGTCCGGAGACCCCCAGGGTCTGTGCATCTCCTTTACCTTGTATTCTGTCGAGAGAAAAGAGACACACACAATAGACACTCAGCGGTCTCTGGTCCCTGCTTTGCATTGTTACTCTGCCCCTGCTTACACCCGCCCTGTCCTTGCTGGACCCGCTGTGGCAGATAACCAAGGCTGATCCGAGCACAGTGGGTGACCGGAAGGATCCAGAAATATGGCTTTGGGGTAAAAATCCCTTTTGAGGTACTAAGAATAGAAATGAGAAGAATCCGAGGTTGGGGGCTCCACTGGGGAGACCCTCCCATCCCCCAGGGCTCTGCTGTGAGCTGTGCTCCTGCCTGAGCTGCCTGGGGGAGCTGGGGGTGGGGGGCTGGCAGGACAGCGTCCTGGCAGAGAGCATGAACCTCATGGAAGTTTGCTGGGAACAACTCAAATTTGGCTGAGTGTCTTCCTCCCCCCTGGGGCTGGCAGGCAATCCTGGCTCAGCAGTTCCGGGAGAAAAGCGCTCCCGATGGAACCCAGATGGGACAGATGGCCTGGAGACCATCCAAGGCCAGGGCCTCGGAAGGATGAGGGGAGAGGGAGGGAATGGGAAGTGACAGCAGTGGGAAACTTGGGTTTGAACAGAGCCCAGCTCTGGGGCAGGATCTGCAGCAATGGCTTGTGGAAGGTCAAGCACAGTTAGGAGCATGCATGGACTGTCCTCGAGTCCCGAGACAGGCCTGTGCTCACCTCGCATGCCCCAGTTGACGGCGTTCATGCTGTCGTAGTGGAAGAGGTCTGCGCTGGGCGTCTGCGGAAGACAAGGCCAGAGTGGGCCTGAGGCTCCTCCTCCTCCCGGGAGCACTCACCCACGCAGAAAGGGACAGACCCTCGGGACACGGGGGTGGGGGCTTCAACCTATGCCCGCACATGGCGGGCACTCAATACCCACTCACTAATTGGTGAGTAGCATCTCAGGCTTTCTCTCACGGCTCAGATGCTGCTTTTTTCTATAACCTGCCCACAACTGCAAGTAGTCCTTTCCCCAAATGCCATTCTGCCAAGCCCCCTTCTCTTGCCCATTTTTTCCCTATAATATTCTAAATTCTATACAATACTTCTAAATTCATAATATTTCCAAATTCTATACAAAGCTTCTAAATTCATATTTCTAAATTCTATACAAAGCTTCTAAATTCGTCATACTTCTAAATTCTATATAAAACTTGACCTGTTTACTATTTACTTCTTGCTTTCTGTTTCTGTGGTAGGATATAAGGCCCGAGGGGCAGGGGCCTTGTATGTGGCTGTTCTCAGCTTGGGAGCAGTGGCCGGCATAGACAAGGCTCTCAGGAAATGTCTGCTCGGGATGCGTGTTGAGGTGGGGTCCGTGTGCTCCTCAGCAGGAGCTCACTCTCCCTGGACGTCTCCCTGTTGTGGGCTCTAGCCCAAAATAACCTCCTAGCAGATGTGCAGTTTCCACTGGTCCTTCTAATGGCTCTATTCCATGCAACAACCGGAGTCCACTGAAAATCCAGGTCAGATCAAACAGCACCCCTGGTGGAGACCCCCAAGTCCTTACAGTGCCCAGGACCCCAGTGACATTCCAGTCTGGCTTCCTCTACTGGCTCACTCCACCCGACACTGGCTGGGGCCCACTGGGTCCCCCTAGCCCAGGGACTTAGAAGCTCCCCCCTCTCTGGATGGCTCCTGCAGGTCTTTCGGTGGCGAAGTCCCTGGCCCCTCTTGGACTCCTGCTCGCCCCCTGCTTTATTCTAGCACCGCGACCACTGACTTTGCACTGCATGTTAACTGGGTGCTTGTCAGTCTCCCCGGCTAGAACATGAGCTACCTGGGAGTTTTATTTCCTGCAGTAACCCTGGAACCTAGAACATTCCTGGCACATAGTAGATGCTCAGAAAATAGACCTCTGTCTCACTGGCCCTGCCCTTTCTCCATCACCCATCAGGTAACACAGCCTCTCATTTTGCTAATAAGATGGATTTTTCATTTCTTTTCAGTCCTGAAACCAATCAGCGGTCTCTGTGAAGGTTATGGGTCATGCCGCGTCTCACCTGGAGGCTGGCACTTGGGCGGGAGCCGTGGGGGCAACTGGTCTGGGCTCTGGCCCTGGCTCCGCACTCACTGGTATGAGAGCTCAAGCACGTCCCCCCTGGTCCCCTGCCTCCACCTCCACGTCTTCACCCACATACAGGGTTAATAATAGAATCTACCTTGCCTCTTGTGAGGTGGCATGAGTTAGTGCTTGCCAGGTGCTCAGCACAGTGTCTGGCAAGGAGTGATGGCCCAGTAAGCACTGAGGAACACCCATGGCAAAAGAGCAATCTTGCCTTTGGCTTCCTGCCCGGGGCTTTGTCCCAGTGACCACTTGAGCAGTGGTGAGGCTGGGACTGTTAGCATCTTGGGATGGTGCTCCCCATGTGGGGTCCCCTCTTACCCGGTGCAGCCCATTTCTTCTGTAGGCAGGCAGGGAGGCAGATTTGGAGATGAGGGGGTCTGAAAAGAAGGAGCCAAAACAATTACAAGGAACCCCCAGCCAGGGGTCCTTCTCCCTGACTTATCAGTTGCAAATGGCTCATATTACTCCCCACCAGTCTCTCGCACTACCTCCCAGGTTTGCAACTGACTGTCCTAGGGGTGCCTACCCCTGCAGAATCCTAGGCCCACCTGAAGTACCCAAGCAGCCTTCTGGCCTTTACCTGCACCATCATCTTCCTCTGAGGAGCCCTGTGCCCTGCGCAAAGGCCCTCAACCTCCCACTCAGGACCCAGCCAGGCAGGCGTCCATGTGGGTGGAAGAGGCTTGGGATTTCATTTTTTGCCTGGAAGGAGTTGGTTGTGGCAACTCTGGTTCCAGAACCTCAAAATGGAATCTTACTGACTGTGAAGCATAGTGCTGTGGGTCATTTAAGGTCACGGCCCCTGTGGCCACCCCAGATCTGGCCCACCCAGGACATGATGGACTGAGGGCCCGGCAGGCAGAACTCACCGCTGTCAGCCAGGTAGTGGGACCGCGGGGCTGCAAGAGAGAAGTCGGAGATCAGTCAGTGTTCGTGGCGACAGACAGACGTCCGTGGCTCTGACATCTGGGCTGCCCTGGTGTAAGGAGGGTCCTCCTCTGTTCCCTCCTTTCACCCTGGTCAGTTTCCATCCTCCCTTTGCCCCGTGCTGGGAGCATCACAGGCGCTTCTTGACATCTACTGCACCAACACCATTGCCCAGAGTTGAAGTTTGCCCCGCAGAGCCTGGGGTGACAGCAGTGCCCCTCAGAGGTCAAACAGGGAGTAAAGCTCTTTCCTTCATCCCTGCGCTGCCACTAGCAGATGCGAACTTCCAGGAGGTAATCAAGCTTCCGTATTCTCATCTGTCAAATGGGGGTGGGGTGGGGTGGGGAGAGATAGTGTCTCCTTTCTACAGTTATTGTGAAGAAAATACTAGACACACTAGAGTAAGAATATACTAGACACACTAGAGTAAGGCGCCAGCACAGTGCATGACGCAAAACAAACAAAACTGGCTTTATCATCATCAGCACCACCATCACCTTTATTCTACCTGGAGTCAAGGCACAGACTGGTGAGGAGGGAAAAGTTTATGGCCGCGGGGTCACCCTCACCTGGCTCCGTCACTTACTGGCTTCCTGACCTTGGACGAGTGACAATCTCAGGCCTCTCATCTGTAAAGTGAGGTTCACTACCCTCTGGGTCTTTGTGAGGATCAGAATGCCCATGTATCTACAAATTCCTGGCACATTATCCATCAAGTACAGACTTGAGATAGGATTTCCTGGCAAGACTGAATCCCACATATATAAGAAAGAGAGGAGACAGAGCACGTGTGTGTCCAGAAACAGGGAGGAACTTACAGTGAGAGAGTCTTAGGGCAAGGTGCTTGAAGCAAGCCTCTGCTTGCATACCTCCAGTGACAGAGGGATCACTACCTCAGTTGGTAGCCCTTTATATTGTTGAGCCATATAGACCATTAAATGATGTTTTTTCTTTACACTGAAACTGATTAGAAGTCATAGTTTCAGATGCCCCAATGAAGCAGAAGCGACTTCTTAGAGCAGGGCATGACCCCCACCCCCATCTGTATTCCAGACCCAGGTGAGCCCAGAAGAGTTCAGATTCAATGGCGGGGTAGGGAGGAAAGCGCCCCCTTGCGTTTGGGTCTCCGGTGCAGTGCTTACAGCCATTGAGGGACATCTCATAGCCAGCTGTGTGCAAGGCCTCCCGGCTGCTGGTGGAGCTCCGGGGCGGGGTCCAGGGATCCGCATAGGAGCTGGACCGGGCCTTCATCTCCTCCTTCAGGATCAGCCGGCCAATTCCGCTCTGGAGCTGGGGTGGGGGTGAGAGGGGTAAGATGAGTTAGAAGGAAGCAAAGAACACAGAGGTGGAGCAGCCTTTGGAAGGGCTGAGGCATCGACCCTACTGTGAGCCTCTGTCATTTCTGCCTTCTCAGAGTCCCTTGTTCTTGGCAGCACCCACATTTTCCTTTGCAATTTCATCTCTCTTTCACAAGTAGACTGCGGTTGAAGTGGGGCTCTTAGGATGGGCATAAAAGGCAGGCCTGGCCAATGACAGGGCCATATGCCCTGGCCACAGTGACTGGTTCAACAATGGGCTGGGGAGTCTTCCCTGGGACTCGGAGTGGAGTTACTGGCACCCATCTCTTAAAATAATTTTTTAATTGAGATGAAATTCACCAATCTATATTTATTCTGTCTCTATGGATTTACCTATTCTGGACAATGCAAGTAAACACAATCATGATTTTGTGTCTGACTTCCTTCACTAAGCATTTTGTTTTTGAGGTTAAGCCACCTTATTGCATGTACAGTATCTCATTCCTCTTTATGGCTGAATAATTTTCCATTGTATGGACAGACCATGATTTACTTATCCATTTGGGAGTTTGTGGACATTTGAGTTGTTTCTATGTTTGGATTATTGTGAACACTGCTACTATGAACACTTGTATACATGTATTTGTGTGCCAGTTTTCAGTTCTTCTGGGTGTCTGCAAAGAGTGGAGTTATTGGGTTCTATAGTAATTCTAAGTACTTTTGTGAAGAGCAGTCAAAATATTTCACCAGCAGCTGTACCACTTTCCATTACTGCAATACGCGAGAGGTGTACTTCCACTTCATGAGGACCTGCCTAAGCCTGAGGCCAGGCTCAAGAGAAAGGAGAGACAATTTCTTTATGGCCACTTTTTGAGAGGCTGGATCCAGCCGTACCTGAAACTAACCCCACCATTTGACTTTTCAGTTAGGCAAAGCTAACCATTTCTTTTTCCTAAAATAAGTGAGTTTGAATCTGATTCGTCACTTGCAAATTAAGAAGGCTTCAGATACACAGCACATAAGCATCTCATTCAGAGGCATGGCCTGCTTACCTTATGCATGCTGCGGTCAAAATCGTCTTCCTCTCCTCCAGATGAGAACCTTCTGGCTCGGGGCACTGCCAAAAGACAGCTAGGATCAGCTCCAGCATATGCTCCCCACTCAGCCTCCCCTGGGGAGAGGGCACAGAGGGGCAGTAGAGGCTAGCCAGGGGCTCTCTTGGCTCTGGCACTTTCCAGCTGTTTGAAATGCCCCCACTCTGGGCCTCCCACATGCTACTGTCATATGCCATTCCCTGAGCCCTATTCTCGGGTCCTGAGGGCAGGTGAAGCCTGATCAGAGCTAATAAGCATCAGTGTTGCACTTTGCTGCTGCTGGCAGGACAGTCTCTTTCTGACACAGTGGAGCTGCCTGCGCTTGCTGGAGCTCATGTCGCTGTGATGGGGGCAAAGCCACCCAGGGCATAGGTCAAGTCCTGATGACACTCATTCATCCTTAGATTCAGCTGTGCCCCAAGTCAATACACCTCAAAACCTTTCAGTCCATGACCCAGGAAGTCCTATTTTGGCTTAAGCCACTTGGGGTTCATTTTTCCTTTTTTTTCCTTTTTTTTTTTGTGACCGAGTGATCTCATCTAAGACTCCCCATCTCTCCTCAGGTTGCTGGGAGTGGCTCCTCTGTCCTTGCAGCCTCTGCTCATGCATCTCCCAGGGCACTGGCTACTATCCACTTGTGTTGTGCTATGCTTGTGTCTCCTCTTTTCTAAGTGGAGAATTCTTTGGCAATGAGGCAGGGGTCACCTCTGAACTCCTATGAAGCTTTGCTCAGAATGGACATTCAAGCAACAAAGTATGTTGCTCAAAGAGGAATAGAAAGAACATTCCTCTCCACACTGGAAAGAAATGGCTTGGGCTATCTACTTGGAATGCTGCCCGAGAGCACCCAAAATGCCTTGCCAGGTGCCTATGGGAGACTTCCTTCTCCCCGCATGCTTGTCCCTATCCCCCAAATCATTTTGCACCCCAGCTAAAGTGATGTCTTAGAGACAGAAATCTGACCATGTCACCACTTTCAGTGAGTTCCTACTGTTTGGGACACAGACCAACATCTTTACTTCCACCCAAAAGGCCTCTGGGATCTGGCCCCTCACCCTTGCCTATTCCCTCCTTCTCCGAGCTCCGGGGTAAGCTGATGCCTTTCCTTTCTCCAGTGGAGCCGCCCTCCCAGCCTGGGTGTGTGCACCTGCACGGCTACTCTGCTGCTGCCCTGGTCCTCCCCTGGCCACAGCAACCGAATCTCTGTACCCAGGACTTTGGTCATCTTCCAGGCTGGACAGTGCCCTCCTGCCATTGGTTCTTCCACCTGCTGTGTAGCACCTCCTGTGCACACCTATGTCCACAGCGCAGACACCTGGTCTATTTTGCTCCCATTGCTTCCCCAGGGTCCATGACTGGCCCTCAACATAGGCTTACTGAATGCATACGTGAATGATAGTGTGAAGGGGAGGGTGGCATCTGCCTGGTCCTCTGTCCTCATTTTACGTGACAGGGCTGTGGTCCTTGGTTACCTGTGGGGTGCCTTACCTTTGGGGGACCCATGGTAGGTCCAGTATTCAGATTCCGCGGCATAGTAGGGGTCTGGGGAGTAGGCCGGACTGTATTTGGAGGTCTGGCTAATGTCTTCACTTGTTTTGCTCTTGGTGGTGGTTGACAAGTCACCTGCAAAGGACCCAAGGAGAGGTCAGGGGAGGAGAGCGGCCTGGCAGAAACCATGTGCCCTGTCCTCTGTCCAGCTAGGCTCCAGCCCAGGGACTCAGGATACTCAGGCCAGGGGCTGGGACATGGGCATTAGAGCCGGGGAGGCACTGGAGCCAAGTTAGGCATCTGAACACCAGAGAGGAGCAGGGCTCACCCGTGACCACACAGCAAGGCAGCCCCAAGCTCAGGGCTCCTTCCACCATATTCTATGGACTTCTGGGGTGCTCCCAAGGAATATGAAGGCTGTGCCTCTCCAAGTAAGATTTAGACAGGTGCCAGGTGAGCGTTAGCCCTTACCTTTTTCACCCTCTGCCTTGTTATGGATTTAAGTCATGTCTAGAATGTGAATTACCAAGTAGGGCCACAATGTATGTTTTCAACCTTCTCCTCACACTGAAATGCCCAATCCCACCTGGGGGGCGCTATGTGGCCTGCAGGAAGGAACCCTGGGTGGGGAGTCAGTGACCTGGGTCTGGTCCCGCCTCTGCCATTTAACCCAGTTGTTACACTGAGCAAATCCTGCCTCTCTCTGCCTCAGTCTCCTCATCGGTGAGGATCAGGATTGGCCGGCTAGCTCAGATACTATTCAGCTTCCAATTTCCACTTGAAATCTGCGACACAGGGTGATCACTGAACCCACCATAGACAGCGACTCTGGCCAGGGCAGCAGCTCTGGCCCAGACACTCAAGAGTCTGGTGAGGATAGAGAGAGGGCTGGGGGAGCAAGCGCCCCATCATGTCACGGGAGAGAAGCTGTAGGGACGTGCTCTCTGCTTCTCCCTTCTCTGTGGTGTCTGAGCAGCTGAGGGTCCTGTGTCAGGACCTCCCCCGGCGCCACTTGCTTCCAACGTGCTGATTCTCTTTGACTTGGGTCCTGGGCAGCCCCTCCCACCCTTGCTGATTTCCCCTTATCACCTCTTCACCACCATCCGCCTCTGCCCCGCATTCCTCTTCGGCCTGCTTTGGGGCCAACCTGGAAAACTCCGTGCAGTCCTGAGGTGCCTCAGCTAAGGTGGAGGCCATTTTTGGACATCAAAACAGACAGCGTGTCAGGTCGGTGCCTGTCCGTGGCCCCCAGGGGCACACACATGACCTCCAAGGCCGTGGGTAGACTCACCCGGCCAGCTCCTTTCAAAATCGAGGATGTCTGTCTACACTGTGGGTCTTGGCACCCAGAGCTATGGTTTACACCCACTCTGCACCCCACCAGCTGAGTGAGTGTGGACTCAGAACGGGGCCTCTCCTGCCCATGTCCATAGTCGCCCAGTTTTGGGCTCTCCTCTGTTATCCAGAGAGACACACGGGCATGTGAGGGCAACATGGGAACAGCGGCAGCTGCACCGCCATGTCCTGCGCAGGAGGGACACGCTTGGTCAGCTGAGCATGAGACTGACTGGGGTGCGGGACTGGGCCCTGGGTGCTCTCCTACTGGGTGCAGGTGGGAATCAGGAACGACTCCTGGCGACAGGAAAGACTCTCAGTATTTGGGATCAGGCCCCTAGAGAGGGGCTCGGGGGTACATCTGCTTTAGTAGTAAGTCTGTCCGGTACTAGGGAGCTACAGACCATTCTTTCATAAACACTGCATGACTGAATGAATGAATGACTGAATGAATGAAGGTGAGCACCTCAGTGATGCACGCCCTCATCAAACCTCCACTGCTCTAAGCAGTGGTTCCCAAACTGGGCTGGGCATTGGAACCACAAGGATAAATGGCTACAATTACAAAATTGCAAATCAATAGGTCTGGGGTGGGGCGTCCAAATCCGCGTGCCTCCCATCGGATGCTAACCAACTAGCCAAGTTTGAGGATCAGTGCCTCGGAGTGTGACACTCTCAGGGTGCTAACATATGAAGGGGTGCTCTGAGCACAGAATTTAGGGCGTCAGGGTTTAGGGGTTGGAAAGGAAGTGGGAAAGGGTTTAGGGGATATGAGGCCTTTCTTGCTCTTTTGTAATGACGGCAAACTCCTCCCCAGAGTCACCGCGAAGTGACTGTCCCTCCCTAGGCCTGGCTGAGCCCTAGCTGCCTCTATCATACCATGCCGTTTGTAGATCGGGGGTTTCCGGTAGATGTTACTTTCTCCAGCTGCCAGACAGATGGGAGGGGCAGTGGGAGGGGGGCAAGGGGAGAGGACAGAGAACAGAGGAGAGACAGAGTTGGTCAGTCGATCGCAGAAGAGAGGGCCAGCAACCTTCCCCAAGGCGCCACTGTCTTCCCCTGGTGAGTTTCCAAAGCTGAGCTCCCAACCTCACCCCATTGGGTTCAGGAGGGGATTGGGTGGATCCAGACGGAGCAGAGGAAGGGGCTGAGGCTTGCGCATGGGCATGCAGGCACAGGGCGGGGTGCGCTCGGCGGGACCCCATGCAGGAGGGTGTTGCAACCTCCACCCAGCAGCAGCCATGCCTCATTCCATGCAGAACCCCCAAATGCTGCAGCCGTGGGTCGGCAGTCTCCCTCCCCCCCCTCGAAACAGGATGGGACCTTCCTGGAGCAGTGGAGAGAGGTGTAGATGGATCAGCAGCACCAGTTCTTAGGAAAAGTGAGTGGGAAACAAAGCTGAGCTCAGGGTTGGGAGGCTGGGATATAGGCCTGGCTCTGCTGAACGCAGGATGAGACCTTGTCTAAATCACACCCACAAGACCACCAGGCCCCTGCCCTTCCTCTTATCTCCTATCGCTTTCCCTCACGTCACCACCTCCAGCCAGCGGCCTGTTGCTGTTTCAGTTTTACAGTCTTTTCGTTTGCCTCCACCAGGGACGTTTTCCCTCCACCAGGGATGTTTTCTTTGGTGGCCCTCATAAACCTGACTGCTTCTTATCTTTTAGCATCAATGTCACCTCCTCCAAGAAGCCCTTCCTACGGAGCCCAACCTCCCCCACCCAGGTCTTTCTCTCATAGTGTCCTGTCTTGGGATGTGTATTGTACCTCCCATTACCTGAAACGACCCTTTTACTGGTTTGCTTATTCATTTATTATCTCTTTCCACACTAGCACTTAAACACCATGAAGGTTTTGCAACCTTAGGGCCCAGAAGAATACCCGGCTGTATGAGGGAACAGCAGAAGCTCAGGGAAGCTAAATAATTGACCCAGCATCATGAGTCTAAATGGTGGAAACGGAATCAATTCCTAGACTTTCATGCATGGTGGCCGCCACCTCCTTCCTGGCCCTCAGACATTTACGATCTTCCCTGTGCTTCGCCGTGGTCCTGACCGAGGCTGGTTCTGTTAGTGGTGGACTAAAGCAGGGGCGTGTCGGGCTGCGGGGTGGGGTTGTGCAGGTGACTGGTTAGGGAGGTCCCCGGAAACCGGCTTCTCCTCAGTGCCCGGCGACCCAGCGGAGCATGCACCATGCGGGCATTCGGGCTGGCAGCCTACCTGGGATGTGAAAGTGCTTGGGAGCCTGGTAAGAGGTTGGAGTAGAGGACCTGACATCTAACTGGCTATGGTATGGAGAGCTCCGGCCACTCTCGGGCCCTGGGGCGCAGACAGTGGTCCCCAGAGAGAACAGAGGCACAGAGGAGACAGGCATTAGCCGGGTGCACTGGAGGCGGCAGTGAGTGATGGCAGTGGGGTGAGGAGGGGCTCTGCTCTCATGCACAGTGTCTGCAGAAACAGGCTTGACCCCGTTTTCTTGCTTCTCCCCAAAGTCAGATTTTGTGGGTTCCACCGAGCTTCAGGAAGGTATCTTCACTCTGTTGAACTCCCCAGCCCCATTCACCTGGGCCCCTCCCTGACTACTCCCTCTTCCAGTCACCCCTACCATCTGGATGGGCAGGTCACAGGGCAAGGGTCAGACTGAGGAGCCTTCATGCGGACAGGGCCACTGACTGCCTGCCACCCCCTCTCCTGGCAGCTCACGGCTACCTTCCTGCTGCTTCTCTGCACCATCGCCCCCTCCCCTCCCCTGCCAGGGGCATCTTCAGGGACCCAGTGCAGCCACAGGTCTGCACAGGACTATGCTGGGTGGGAGTCCCAGGAAGTCCAGCGCTATCCCCGCAGCTGTGGGCAGCAGGCCACTGTGCTGTCCCTGGCTCGTCCCACCCCTTGGTGGTTTCCCCTTCCTTACCAGAGCGGTAGTAGTGGTGAGGTGAGCGGGAGAAGGTTGGGGACATGCCCTGCCGGCTATATGTAGGGGAGTCGATGTATCCGGGACTGGAGGCCCGTCTCTGCCGGAGGTCCAGGTTCTCATAGATGTCCTGGGGGAGGAAGCGGCCAGAGTCAGGCCACCCATCAGGTGACCAGTGGCCCAGGGTCTGCAAGCAGGTGGGGGGGTGACACGGACGCCAGGTTCTAGGGGCTGACGAGCGGTGCTGGGTTCCACGTGCAAGGAAAGCTGCAGGGAATTTGCAGGGTCCTCAGCCCCACCCATAGGCCGTGAATGGAAGCCATGGTTCAGCCTTTGGAGTCACAAGGCATCAGTGAGATCACATCCAGGTAGAAAGGGAACATCAGGGTCTCCCCGAGCCATTTCTTCCCTTTATGCCACAGCCACTTCCTCCAGGTCATGCCCCCAGGCCTCCCCATCTGTGCCCTGGTTGGGGGAGCACCCACACAAGGGCTCAGGACCCTTGGGGGCTTATGGGGTGAACTTGGGAGTCTGCTTGGTCAGCACAAAAGGACATAATTATGTAAAAAGTCTCCTCAAACCAGCTTGATTACCTGGGAGTAGGGAGATAACGTTCCCAGCGACTTAGAGGCGAAGTTTGAAGGTGGCCGTGGAAGGAGCAGAAGGAGAGAAGGGAGGCAAGATGGAGACAGAGAGTGGTTAGGCAGTTCAGCAGAGAGGCCTGTGGTTGCCAGCAGCTCCCTCTCAGACAGCTTTGAGTTCTGGAATCTCAGCAGTCCAAAGGTGGCAGGAAAGCTGGAGGTCAAGACCCTCCTCTGAAAACCCGGGTCAGAGAGGGAATGGGATGGCCCGGGCACTCAGGGAGGCCGGGCCCTTGCTTGTGCCTTCGCTTCTCCAGTTCAGTCATTTCCTGCCCCTTTGCTGTCCCTCTCCCGGTTCCTGAACCCTCTGGTTCATGAGGACAGGGCCCAGGGCAAGGGGCCCCAAAGCAGGGCAGGGCCAGGCTGGTGATGTCCAGCACTTGGGCCGGCAGGGGGAGGGCGGTGGAGGTGGAGTGGCCCCTGTCAGGACAGTGTGCTCTCTGCTGCTGTGTGTCGGGGCCAGACCGGGTGCCTGCCAGAGTCAGCACAGCTTCTTAAACTTGCACGTCAATTCAGAAATGCAGATCCTTATGTGAAATGGCCCAAATGTTTAAATGTTGACAAGCAACGTACATTCTTAAAGAATGTACTTTGCAGAGTAAAACAAACCAACCTGGGGCCAGCTGTGGCCGGTGAACCCTGCTTACCAACTTCAGCCAAACATTTAGCATGTTTTTCGTGATCCATTTCAGGGAGCAGACCCCCAAGCGTCTCAGTATTGGGCAATTAAACCACATGGGACCCCACTCCCTTTCGAGAGGAAGGGGGCAGTGGTGGAGCGGGAACAAGAACAGGTCCCTGACCCCTGCACCAGGGTCCCTGCTCCAATGCGCTTAGTTCAGGGGCCCAGAAACCTCCTTGGACATGGCCCTGTTGGCCGCCAGGGCAGGGGCCACCGGCCTTCCCCTGACGACATGTTCTATTCTCCAGCAGCCATCTTTTTGATGGTTTTGCTTCAAAAGTCACCTGACGTTGAGTTTTTACGGGTGTCTTGCTCTGAGCACAGAGATGTAAGGTCAGGTGCCCAAACCACAGAACCTACCTAATGGCCACTGAGCCTGGCAGGAATGAGCATCCCGGGCTGAGCATGGAATTCCTCCCCTGCCACAAGCCCTTCACCACCACACATCCCCAACCCCAGTGATGAGTGGTCGTGGGTTCTCAGGGAGTGGCAGGGACGTGGGAGCCCAGGAAGTCCCTGTCCTCTCCACAGGGGGCACTGCTTCCCACCTCCAGATGGTGGAAATAGGGTATCATGTAGCCAGTTCTGATTTTTTTGAAAAAGCCAGATTTGTGCGTGAAATCTTCTGGTTTTTAAATTTGACATAAATTCTAGTTTTAAGAGTCTGGGGGCCAACAGCATGGAGGACAAATTATGTGTGATAAAGGGGAGTGGGGACCCCTACTGGAGGGAGCGCTCCTCCGCCAGGCCCACAGAGGGGCGAGACGCAATACCTCTCCATAGCCACATCTCTCCAGCGTCTCGTCAGACGTGTATCTGGAACGAGGCTCGTAGGAAATGAGGTCTGGGCGTTGTACCTCGTAGATGGACTTGACCTTGGGGAGAGCTGCCAGGTCTTTGTAATTTAGAATCTCGTTATCCACCTTAGCCTGGGGAAGAGGGAAATGAAGGAAAGAAGTGGACAGGTAAGAGGGACAGGAGAGGGGAAGCAGAGAGCAGGCACGGAGGCTGGAACTTCTCCAGATTCCATTAAACACAAGATGTTAGGGCAGAAGACTCCAGAGGCCAGTGAGATGTGTCTTAGAGGCCCTCGGTTCCCACAGGAGCAGCATGGGGAGGCCCTGGCTTTTCAGGAGCCACTTCCTCTCAGTGTCACGATGGCTCTGTGAAGTGTGTTATTCCCATATTCCAGATGAGCAAACCGAGGCTCCAAATTCTGCAAATGGAGCCCCTTAGTGGGTTTCAATCCAGTCTGAACTACAGTCTGGGGCTGACCACCTTTGACCCTACACAAGGAGGACCCCCATCACAGAGTCCTTAAAGAAGATGATGAAGATGGTAATGTCAGATAGAAGCACCGTAGTAAACCACTAGCTAACATCTGGTGGGCTGTTACTACCCGTTAGAATGGACGCTAAGGCCCTTAACTCAGCGTATCCACCCAGTTCACACCTCTAATGGTAGGTAGTTATTTTTCCTCATTTTTGAGTAAGGAAATCAATGACCTTGTCTAAGGGCCAGAGAAATCAATGACCTTGTCTAAGGGCACGTAGCTAGTAAGCAGCAAAACCAGAGTTCAAATCCGGTGGTCTAAACTGGGAGCCTGGCCTCCCTAGGGGCCTCTCCTGGCTTACTGGATGGGGGCTCTCACCTAGCATGTCAGAGGCTGTCTTCCCAAAGATGCGCCTTCACTCAACAGGAACGAGCCTCTGTCTACTGACCTGGCCTGAGGTTAGCCTCTAGAGCCGCATGAGACAGCTTCTCCTGCACACAGCCCACGTCTCCTGGCTCCGGAGGCGTGTCCTTTCCATGCCTGCTTCTTCCAGCTGCTCCCTCTGGGGCCCAGTTTTTGCTGTGGTCGACCAGCTTCTGGCCCAACCCCCTAGCCGCCACCTATTGTGATTCACAAGGTCCTAAGGGGAAGTCAGTGAAGACAGAGGACACTAGATAGAGAACCTAAGAGAAGTATTAGCTTCAGAATGTCCTCACCCTGCCTCGAGCCAGGTAAGTCTGAGGGGCAGTAAGAGCCCTGGCTTCTCAGGAGAGAGAGCAGCTTCTATAAGGGCCTTCTGAGTGCTGATATTTTAAACACTTCCCAGGGCTGTTTTGTCCCTGTCCCAGCCCACTGCTGTTGGGGTGCAGCACTATCGGTCTCTTTCTAGCCCCAATATCTACTCTCCTGTCCTGATGCGGGCTGGTGTTGTTCCCTTGCATCCCCCTGCCTGGCAGGCTGAGGTCAGGCATGGCTCTTGTCCCGTGGCTGCTGGTGACCACCGAGGGTGGTGACAACTGACCCCCTCTGCTAGCCCCGGAAGCCTCACGATGGTGTGTGTGCCCCAAACCCACCTGACCTCTGTAAATGGTTCCTTCATGAAGGCAATCCCACCTCATCCCTGCCAGCGCCTGCCCAGTACAGACACCCATGGCTGGACCAACTTCGGGGTGTATGGGTCAAAGGAACCTTGCTGACATGACTGCTGCCTCTGTCCTTGGATATTTGGTCTTGACCTTAACAGCTCCTGGCATCTTATAAACTTGTCTCTACCCCCCATCCATCTCCGTTTTGGCACTTTATGCCAAACCTCAAAAATACTAAATTTGTATTTCTTCCTACAGCCACCTGGTTTATAAGTCTTAAGTCTGGGGACCCAGTGAATGAACAGAGATTAAACATCATTAGCAGGGAGGAAGGAAGACACCACACAGGCAGGTGGAAGTCACGCCATCTGAGGACGATTCCAACAGGAAGGGGAATGGGCCAAAGCTGCCACCTCAGGGCCGCTGGTACTAAACTCCACGAGTTAGGAAAATTCAACATTATCTTCAGGATAAGACTTGCATGACCCCAAAGTGGTTGCATGGGTTTTTCCTTGAATTTGGAAGCTGCGTTTGAAGTGATCTAATGTCCCCAGAGCAGCTCAGGGTGAGGCCCTGGGTGGGGCTGGGCACCGAAGGGGATTTGTGCCTAGACCAGGGTTCGAGGGGTGACGGATCCAGGTGGGTGGCCCCAAATGCTGTGGTTCTCCTTACAGGGCCACTTGAACAGCTTTCTCCCCAATTCCAGGTCAACATCACAGGGTCTACGTTACTTCTCAAAGGTCAACGAGGCTCGTGTATTCCAGGAACAACCTTCTGGAAGCATGCTCACGGCCATAACCTCCTCACGGTGTCAGACCTGAAACTGAGCTCACTAAGCCTGCCTGGGTGGGCCCCATTCACAGCGCAGTGTGCCCATATCTCTTGTTCTGAACAGGAATCTCCAATGAGGACCGCCTGGGGTCCCTCTGGTTTGTCTTTTGTGGGCGCCACGTGGCTGTTCAGACCCATACTGAAGCTGCTGTCAATGGCACCTTGGGTCTCTTTGCTCATCTGAACAGGGGAGAAAGGGAAGCAGTTCCATCAATGGGCACTATTACCCAGGGATCAAGGAGGAAACTGGATATAGAATGGTGGTAAATACTGACTAGCAGTAGTAAGCAGCGACTGCCCCGATTGTCTGGTCACGGTCTGCACCTAGAGCTTCGTGTTAGGAGCGGACCTCCTGCTGCAGACTGTTTCCCCACATTTCTGCACTCCTCGGATCGTCTGACTTGTGCACGGCTGGAGCAGGTGGATTCAGGCTGGCCAAGGCTCGCTTGCTGTCAGCCTCTCCTTTGCTCATTTCAGTCCCCAGGCTCTACCTCCCCTACGGCTGTTGGTTTATGTCTCTTCTGATCTGTTTTGAGTTTAAGTATTAGTTCTTCGGGGCTCTTCTCCCCATTGCTCATCGGCAGCAGCATCAGAGCACCCTGTGCTTTTCTCTTCCTTCTACTGATCAGAACTGTACCTGCTCATCCCCAAGACACATGTAGGGTTAGAGGGTCAGCAGGGCAGGGTGGCTCAGCACCGCTTCCCAGGACACAGAGCAGACACTCAGTCCACATTTGTTGAATGAATGAATGAGTGCGTGAATGACATAACCAAGGACCTCTGAGGTCCTTTAAGGTGACTTTTGTCTCTTCTGCTACATCCCTGGCATATGGCAGGGTCTCCCCATGGGAGTGCCTCCGGGGTGGGAGCTCAGACACACCCACACGGTCTACTCCTTTCCTGGCCTCTCAGGCGAGGAGAAAGCACCTTACATTTGTAAATCCTCGATGGCCATGTTTCCACATTCACCTGGCTTCCTCTCCCTTCTGTCACTTTATCACATGTGCCACTATCTCCACAACAACAGCGCACCCAACACCCACTCTGAAAACGCTCTGACCCCCATTGTTCTCTTGCCCTGGTCTCAGTTAGGTCATGGGGAGGGAGGAGAACCATGTAGGTTTCAGAGCCAGTCCGAGCGTGACTATAGGTTCTTTCTTGTGCTCCTGCTGACATGTGAGACCATGCCTGGAACTGTTTACTGGGCCGTGTGCTCCGAGGTCAGGTCCCTGTCCTCCCCGTACCCGCTGTGTTCTCAGACCCACTGGAGACCAGCACGGGGCCAGCGCCCTTAGGTTTCAGTTGGAAGAGAGTCTGACCGCTGTCCTTGGCTTCTTTAAAAACTCTCCGGGTACCGGCCTGGGGGATAAGAAAGGCCTTTTGGTGACTGTAAAGCGATACGTACGCAGATGACTCGGTTGGGAGACCCGATGCTGGATCCGGGGGGTGAGATGGAAGTTTCAGACGTCCGCCTGTGCTGTGGGGGAGACAGGAGGTGAGACACTGCACTGGTGACTGTGACAGGGACTTTGGCAATACCGTGGGCTGTCCTTTCTCTTTATTTTCAGCCTGTCTAACCACTGTTTGAGTGGGCATGAAAACCAAAACACAGAGAACATGATTTTGTTTTTCACATGCTTGTAATTGGTCTTTTAGAGAGGAAGTTACATGCAAAATTTTCACTTTGGGTTCTCGCATGATTTTATGAATAAAATTGGGGAGTGTTCATTCCTTAGCAGTTGGGTCACACAAAATGGGAAGGTAGGTTAAATTCCACATAATTGCACAATATACTGATTCTTTACAGCATAGCCATTGCCACTAGACATCAACCTAAATGATAAAGTCTTTTCTGAACAACCAGAGTTGGATTAATGGCTCCTGGAGCAGAGGACTGTGGTGTCAATCTTAGTGCGTGTGAGGAGCAGCTTGTTAAGTTAAAAGTAGAAAGGCCGGGAATCAAGGACCTCTCGTGAGCAGGGTGATTTTAGTGGTCTCAGGTTTCTGATTGTAAAATGAAAGGGCTGGTTTTAAGGATTGCTACCTTCCCTTCCAGATCTTTCACCCTCTGATTTAAAGCATTCTAGTGAGACTAGAGAGAACTATTTCCTGGAGTATGAACTGTGAACTCTGGAGGCTCTGAGAGATAGGTGTAGGTGGAACAAAGATAACATGGAAACGAGTGAGAGTAAACGCAAATTTCTACTTCAGTTCTCTTGACTAGGTAATGGAGGAAGTTTTAATTTGGTGTGAATACATTTTAACAACTCTTTGGACCTAAGAATGTCTCTTTACAAGCAAAGAGGGTGCAGGTAACATGACCTAGCTAGACTTTCTAAAATTTATTCTGAAGAATTATTTCATTTTCATTGAATGTATCTTATAATTACCTTCTATTTATAGAAAGTAATACTGGCTTTCCACTTGGTGATACAAAATTTTATTTTAAAATACATTTGGCTAAAGAAAAAGTGGTGAATTGATTGTAAGAAAAAATTAAGTGTATAATTTATATATATAGTAAGTATATAATTATATAGATAAAATTATATATAATATACACATATAAATATATATTATATAAATAAGTATATAATCATATCACATGATTATATACTTATTTATATGCTTATACACTTATTTATATAATTTATGTATATAATTATGAATACACAGATGTGATGAAAAGCATCAGGATTTGTGGAAAGAGAATTGAAATTTGAGAAATGCCATCAAAGAGGAGGAAACTGAAGAAAAAGGACAATTAGGTTTTCTTTCGCCTTAAATGGCAGAAGTCTTGGAAGAAACAGGGGGAAAAAACCTCATGGCTCAAACAAAAAAATGCATCAGTAGAAAAGCTCTTTCACAAGACTCACATCAGGTGGAGAGATGGCAAAGGACCCAACACAGAGCCAGCTGGTCAGAAATTGTACACGTGTTTTTAGGTGAGACTCTAGCAGGTGACTTTTCATAGGACCCCCAAGGGGCCACACTGATATCCGGGCCTATAGTACAGAAGCTCCCTGGAAATCCTAGAGTGCCACCCAACAACCCCTGCCGCCAGCCCCCAACCCCATGTCCAGGTCTCCCTCCACTCCCTTCCAGCAGTTCTTAGATCCAGAACCCAGACTCCCAAGACTCCCTGGCACCTGTCAGAACACAGTAACTCAAGAGGGATGCAGGACCTCTGCTGGCCCAGTGTCGCTGGGGCCACTGTGGTGCCTTGCCAGGCTGCATTCCTGCAGGCAAACGACCACCCTCTTGAAACCTCATCATCAGCAGAGAAGATAAAATCCCTTACCCCATCTGCCTCTGCAGGTTGAAGAAATTAAATCATATGGTGGCTCTGAAGATGCCTTACAAACTGTCAATTTCTGTGACAATATTAACTACCATTATTAACAGATGACCTTAGGTCGGGGTGGGGGGTATGTGTGAGTTCCTCATAGGGGAATCATCTTGGTAAGCAATGGTGAGGGTCAAGTCTCATACCAGGGAGCAAACTCACACAAATACAGTGCTTTACAGTTTTCAAAGTGGCTCACGTCCAAGGGCTTACTTCCTTTGAGATTCCCGTAAGAGACCAGGGTTACCATTAAGGAAATCCAAGGCACTCTTGGGAATTTGCACACCAAGGCATGATGATTCGCTAATAAAGCACAGTGTCCCCAACCTGTGACCTAAGACCCTGGTCTGGTGTTACTACCAGCTTGCTTACCTTCAATTTCTTCTCTGCCCGGGCTGCCTGTTTGCAGATGGGGTGCCAAACCTCAGAACCTAAGGGGCCAGGGAAATAAGAGTGGCTCAGATCTTTCTGCTGCCTACCAGCATTCAAAGTCTCTCCCCATCCCCCACCTCATGTGCTCCCTCTGCAGCCCTTGTACCCCACGCACCAGCCGTGAGGAACCTGGCTTTCCTTGTTCTTTGCCGCTTTATCCACCAACACTCATTGATTCAGCCACCCACAGTCTCTTCCTGCCTATTCAAATTCTACCCATTCCTCAAGGTCCAGGTCTCATGCAACATCTTGCCAACTTTCTTACCTGCCAGCTGGGTGTGACTTCTCTCTGCTCTGGGATCCATAGTCCTTTGTGTAGCTCTCAACACATATGGTGTTATATTACAGTAGCTTGAGGACTGATTTATCACCCCAACTAAATTAAGAGCTCCTTCTGGGTAAGGGCTGAGTTCTATTCATTGCTGGATGTCCCAGAGCCTCCAGCCTGGGGCTTTGCTCTCAGCGGAGGCTCCATACATGTTTATCGGCTGGATGATTGGCAGTGAGTGACACATAGCAGGTGGTAGATAGATAGCTGATAAATGAATGAGTGGCAGTGGAGGTGAAATAAAAGGACAGACGTGGCGAACTCCAACCTTCCTTTCTCTTCAAAGACTGGTGGCTGCGGCTATCGCAGCCATTTAAGGAGAGGACGTGTCATGGTGTGTGTGCTGCTTGGGAGCACTGTCTTGACCTGCTAATTCCCAACAGACCTCAGATTGCTCAAATTTAGCATATTGCAAATGCCCACATTTTACTATGGATGGGGGTCCAGTTGGCTGTCCCCAAACCCAAGAGGCCAATTTGGAAAGGCATGAGCAACAGGTGGCTGATCACATGTTAAGAAGCAGCCCCAAATACTACACATGCCCCTAAGAAGGAACAGGTGTCCTGGATTAGAAGGAAAAATAGGAACATATTATCCCTCTGGTGCCATCCATCTCATCACTAGCCCTAAAAGGAAAGGAGGCAGCAAATGGCTAGATTCCTGAGCACCCAGATGGCATCTGTTTGTCTAGCTTTGTTTTTAGGATCTACTTTCAATTATAGTTTGTTGCTTGGAACCCCTGGGGCTGGAAACTGGCTAAGCCACTGGGGGCTGGTTGTAAGGGAATTAGACCTGGATGGGTGGAGGGAAGAGCATGGGCCCCAAGGACAGAGGCCTGGTTTCTGCCTCTGCTTGGCCCCTAACACGGCTGCTCTGTAAGTCCAGTCTCCTCATCTGAATAATGCAGTGGGTCTAGATGATCTTGGAGATTATTCATTTCCAACATTCTAATTCTAGGGCCAGTGCTGTCATGTGTGGGAAAGGGAGCGTGCTGTTTGCTTATATTAATGCGAAGTGCACTTGCTCACAGAGCCCAGTAGAGGGCCCCTGGGTCCGCAACTGGATGCAGCCACCGCAGGGCGTGTCCACTACCTATCCAGGGGGAGGGTGGGGATCCTTGCGTGGGGAGTTATTAGAGAGCATTTCCGGATTCGCTCCGAGTGGCTGCTGAATCCAGCAGGAGTTGTTTACCACTGTGACTCTGACAGGAAGCACGTGTTACAGGTCACTGTGGGAAATGGACGAGGTGGACACAGGTGTCTAAGAAGGTCATGAGATTAAATGGCAGAGACTCAGGGAAAGGTTGGGCAGAAGTTCTCATGGGGTGGGGTGGGAATGACATATAAAGCCAGGAGATCTGACAAGATGGTCTCTCCAGACCACTAACATTGTTCTGAAATAAAGCTCAAGCACAAATGTGTGTATATGTGTGTGTGTGTGCATGCATATGCACACATCAGAAAAAAGAAAGAAAACAACTGGAAATTAAAAAAAAAAAAACCAAGCTTGGGAGTTGGTAATACATCATTTAAATCAAAGCGAGAAGGAACTCATTGGTAGGTAGCGACACGTCTAGCTAAATGAAGGTAAGAAAAGGTGGTTTGCTCCTGCAGACCCCTGTGAAGTGAGGCTGGCTGACAGTCATAGCTGCACCCTGACACACACAGCATCTGTGTGCTTTCTCCCCGGGGCCTAAAACAATAGGTCATGTATGTTTAATGAAGAAATAAATGAATGAATGACTGGATCCTACCCTTGATTAAAAAAAAAAGGACAAGGTGAAATGCATCCAGAGGATGGAGTGAGAACACAAGATTAAGCCAGAAGGCAGGTTTCACCATGGAAAAGAGAATTAAGAGAATGATGAATATGGTTTTGGATATATTTTAAAGCCTCTTTGTTTTTGTTCTACTTTATAAGACATGCAGAACCAGTTGATCCCCCTTTTCACAAAGGGCCAAAGTTCCAGGGCAGGGAAAACGCAACCTTGAGGATTTCAGGGTTCATTCTGACAGTGAGGTCCCCATCCCTGGGGTAATGGAAGTACACACTGGTGGTAAATGATCAGCAGGTTATTCTCCAGGGGTGATGGTGACACTGAGGGAGGTTTCCTACCCCTCCCAGTCTTTAAAGAGTCTATCCTTCCATTCTAATAGATTTCTATGTATAAAAAAATTATTTATCCCTATCCAATGATCTTGATTAGAATATAAGTTTTGTAGGGAGCAGCATTCAGATCACTCCTGACAGGGATAGGGACTGCAGATTCTCAATAAATACTCATTGTGTGAATTAAAAAAAAACAAAACAAAACAAAAGAAAGATGATATTCTCTGTTAGGCCAGTTGAATTCTCTAAGCTGGACTAAGAGATTTGGGCAAGAGGCATAATGGAGACTCAGTTCCACAGCTGCAACTCTAGACTCAATGTCTCTAAGAGTATTTAGTAGATTGGGGCTTGTCAAAGAGTGAGCTGGGGACCACTATCCAGCAGCCTGGTAAAGTACAGATTCCTGCTCCACTCCAGCTCCCCAGTGCCTGAAAGCAACTTCCTCGGGGTGAGGACTGGCAAAGTGAGATTTTACCTAGCTCCCCAGGTGACTTAGAGCTCAAACTGGAGAACCACGGAGCTAAATACCACTTAACTCTCCAAATTTGTTCCCTTGGAATGTCATGGCATAAAGAGACCAATTTTATAAGACAGAACTCTTTTAGCGTCTTGTAAGAATCCAACATTTTGGGCCTCCCTGGTGGCGCAAGGGGTTATGACACAACCTATGAAGCTATTCGCAGCCACTGCAGCACGAGTTCGATCCTGGCCAGGGAACTACCCACATGGCGCAGCAGACCTCTCCTGACTCGCCTGCTGCTCCCCTCAGCAGTGTATTGTAGTCAGTCTGCCTGTTCTGTTCCCCACTGTCTCTGGTGAAGCCTCTCACACACACCCCCCATGTACCGCTGGCGTATACACGAGTTCTTGTATGCATAAATAAATCTTTAAAAAAAATCCACCATTTTTTGCTTGTTAGATTCTGAGTTCCACCAGTCATACTTTTGTCCTCTGAGACTGTCACCCACAATTTCAGGTTCAGCAGTTAAAATCTCCTGTGAGGGTTATGGAAGTGAAGGATTAGCTATTTCTACATCCACTGATTCAGAGATAGAGATCCAAATCTCCAAAACTGTCCCTCACCTGAGTATTAAGGCGGTTTTTAATCTTCAGCAGAGTCAGCATTCTGTCTTATCTCTCAGGCCAGTTATAGCACAGCCCCCACCCACATCATTTTGAGCTTCTTAATATTTGGGAACCCACCCATCTCTCTGTTGGACCTTGAATTCAATTTTTTCCCATATCCTTGTGTGTGTGTGTGTATGTGTGTGCGTGTGTGTGCGTGTGTGTGTGTGTGTGTGTGTGTGTAGTGGTGATATTAATGCAAGGGTAGAGCTGGTGTGGTAAGTCTTCCAGAAGGCCCAGCCAGGGTTGCAAACACAACAGTGACTGAAATGGGTCTGCCAAAAGGTTCTGTTTGGCCAGCATAGTGTTTTTCAAGCATCTTTGAATATGATTGTTTTTAAACCTGCAGGAGGCCTGAGACCTCCCAGCTGCCTGCCTCCTGTCCCTTCTGCTCATTTAGGCAGGTCTTAGAGTTTTTAACCTCCCACCAGCCAGGGTGTCCTCCCACAGCAGGTTCTTCTCTAATTTCTCTTGACCACACCGGTCAGGGAGCTTTCTCACAGTGCTGCCTTACGTCAGCCGCTCCACCTCTGTGACACAGACTTGCCAGGACCTTGGAACTGCTCCTCTAAAATCCCTGGCCAGATAAACAAATGTAGTGTAGCCACACAATGGAATATTATTCAGCTACAGAAAGGAAGGAAAGTAGACGGAATCAAGTTTCCAACATGGATGAATCTAGAACTCATTAGGCTAAGTGAAAAGAGTCAGAGACAGAAGTCCACATACTGTGTGGTCCCACTGCCATGAAATATCCCCAGCAGGCAAGTCTCCAGAAAGCAGGTTGGTGGTCGCCTGACACTAGAGGGCTGGGAATAGGGAGCCACTGCATCAGGCCTAAGGGTTTCCCTTTGTGATGATGAAACTGTTACGAACTAGAGAGAGGGGAGGGTCGCACAGCAGTGTGAACGCACTAAAAGCTGCTTAATTGTACACTTTAAATTTTATGTGACATAAATTTCACCTCAAAAAAAAATCCTCCCTCTTGTTTCCCCAGCAGTCACTGGGCTGGAAGTTTGTCACTGAGGGCTCCACACTGAGGGGGTGGAGGGTGGTGGTGGGAGAGCAAGTCTTCTGCTGAATTTGATGTGTAATAACAACAATGTTTCGGTCATTATAACCTTCAGCCCTGGTGAGTCAGTCTCTGTGTGCCAGACTCCTGCACCCTGCACTGCAATGTTGGTTCAAAGCTCCATCCTCCTTGCAGTATCCAGCTGCACCGTCTGGGGCAGGTGGGCTGGCTCTCTGCGCCTTAGTTTCTGCGTCTGTATGATGGGGATGTGGCCTCCTGCCTCACAGGTTTGTGGTGAGGATGAATGAATGAAGCAAAGGAGAACACTACCCACCTACACAGGTGCTATGAAAGTCTTAGTTGTCATTGTTATCACCTCCCTTCCCCTACCTCTCACCACCCCCCCAGGTTGGCCAGGACTTACT